AGCTCCTCGCACCAATATAGGAGAGGAATTGACCAGTTAATTTGATGGCTCTAGCTCAACGACCCGTCGTTATTCAAGACGGATGTCTGCTATGTGAATGGCGAATGGGTGAAAGCCGCCTCGGGTAAGACCTTCGAGGTCCATGACCCCGCCACAGGAAAGCTTGTTGGAACTTGCCCCGAATTCGACGCCGAGGATACCGAAAAGGCCATCGTAGCAGCCGACAAGGCATTCAAGTCCTTTCGTACAAAGACCGGCCGCGAGCGGTCTAAGCTATTACGGAAATGGTACGATCTAGTAATGGAGAATGCTGAGGATTTGGCAAGACTGATTACTTTGGAGAACGGCAAGCCTTTCGCAGACGCGAAGGGTGAGGTTAATTATGCCGCAGCATTCTTCGAATGGTTCAGCGAAGAGGCTCCGCGAACATATGGTGACTCGATACCATCCACTGTACCCGGCAATAGAGTCGTGACACTGAAGCAGCCTGTTGGTGTTTGTGGGCTGATTACACCATGGAACTTCCCCGCCGCGATGATCACGCGTAAGATTGGCCCTGCCCTCGCTGCAGGCTGCACAACGGTATCCAAGGCGCCAGGAGAGACCCCATTTACATCACTCGCATTAGCAGAACTTGCACACCGAGCCGGGATACCCAAGGGCGTTGTGAACATCATAACCGCTTTGGACAACACCCCCGAGATCGGCAAGATTCTGACGACGCATCCTACGATTAGAAAGGTCTCATTTACGGGCTCTACGGGGGTTGGAAAGCTTCTAATGGAGCAGGCTTCGTCGAGCTTGAAGATCTTGTCTATGGAGCTAGGGGGAAATGCACCATTCATTGTATTTGACGATGCCGATGTCGATGCTGCTGTTGCTGGGGCCATCGCTTCCAAATTCCGTTCGTCAGGCCAGACCTGCGTCTGCGCAAATCGCATTTACGTCCAGAAAGGGATCTACAATGAGTTTGCCGAGAAATTCGCCGAGAAGGTCAAGGGTTTCAAGGTGGGCCATGGTTTCGATGAGGGAGTCACTCACGGTCCCTTAATCCACGACCGTGCCGTATCTAAGGCCGACGCTCATGTAAGAGACGCCGAGAAGAAAGGTGGGAAGGTTGTCGTGGGGGGTCAGAAGATTCCGAACCTGGGGTCTAGTTTCTACCAACCTACCGTGATCACGGGTATGACGAAAGACATGGCTATCGCGAGTGAAGAGACATTTGGCCCCGTTGCCGGCCTCTTCCCCTTCGAGACGGAGCAGGAAGTCGTAGACCTAGCAAACGCTGCCGAGGTTGGATTGGCCGGCTACTTCTTCTCGAGGGATCTAGAGAGGATAACCCGCGTCGCCGAGACATTGGAAGTTGGTATGATCGGCGTCAACACGGGTCTTATTTCCGACGCGGCCTCACCCTTTGGAGGCGTCAAACAGTCTGGATTCGGCAGAGAAGGCTCCAAGTATGGTATAGAGGAGTACCAGCATATTAAGACGATTACATACGGTGGTATGGGCAAGCCGTTGCAGAGCTAGAAATATACCGGGTGTTTGGGTATTCGGTACAAGAACGCAATTTTAATGATTTGAGACGTAAATTTATTGAAAAAGAGGTGGATAAAAACACAGATGCTACAGGGTCAGTTGCGAACCTATTAGAGTCTGAAGGACTATGAGAATGCATCGCTCATATATAGTATGCCACCAGGAGCGGCGCAACCTCAAACCATCATCACACCTCCCCGATTAGGATATCGTCGATAATCTTATTGGGTTTGGCTCCAGAGGCACTTCGTACTACTCTACCTAAAAAAGAGGTAGACGTTTCTCATGAAGATTGGAGTATCTAACTCGGGAAGAAGGACACTGTATCGATCAACTTCCAGGCTAGAGGAAGTGAAATATACAGCGATATTCCCTGTACATAAGATTCATACAACCAATAAATTGGTTAGACAAACCCGTCCCTAGATAGACAACAAGCAACCCAGAGTAATCCTAGCCTTTTCCACCACGGTTGGGGATGACTTACGTAGGAGGCTTGTAGTGAGTGGGTTGCATCCCGCGAAGTTCTTCTAGAGGTAATAATATCGGTGCATTCTCTCGTATATTCAACGAGTTGGGGTGGGTTTTGGCAATGATAGATCACCTGCACTTGTCCTCTCTTGACAGTATCTAAAAACCGTGCATGTTCATCTGGACGGTCCTCGGCGCCGCATGTAACCTGTATAGGCTCAAACCACAGGTATGTACGTACCTAGGTCAACCTGCCCCACGTATTTCCAGCCCTCACTATACGGGATACTCGCTTTAGTGCATGTTTTCCACATTCCACCGGTCCGAGCTTTCTCTGATCCTCAAAATTTCGGACAAGGGAGCTTGGGTATCCCATACCACAAAACATATCAATCGTGCCCCATGATACGCCAACCATTCAATTCGGCCATCGGCCGCACGAGGGCTGATCTCAGCCGTGTCACGGATGGCATCGCAGCCTCTCTGCGTGCATTCTCCACCGCCCAGCAACTCGCCGCAGCACCGCAAGACAATAACGATGGCTCGCGACCAACGGGAAGGCAACGTGCTGCCGCTGCATTCTCCGACCTCGTCGAATTGAATAAGAGAAGCGAGATACAACCCTCGTCGGATACAGCCCCTACGTTCAGAAGACTCGACCTACGGTCCGAGTCCCCCATCATAGTTCCCCGCGCTTCCTCCCCAGGCAGTCCTAACATTATCCGTGGCGGCCTGCGAGGTGGCTTCAGAGGCAGAGGCGGCTTTATTCGAGGCGGGGCTGCGGGTGTCGGGGGCTCGCCTGGTATGATGGGATCGGCACGCGGTGGTCGAGGACGAGGACGAGGCGGACGGGGCGGACGGGGCGAACGAGGAGGACGGGGAAGGCGTAGACGAGATGATAAAGACAGTAAAAACAACGATAATCAGTTAGAACATGGCTGGTCGCCCGAGGTGATTGCCATGCGAGAGGCTAGGGAAGTCGGTTCGTTGCACCAATTCGACCCCTCGATCTCAAAGAGCGATCTTGCGGGCTGGGGCCCTGCCGTGGCGATAACCGGATCGAATTTTGCGAAAGAAGAGACGGCGATACGTCAGGCACGCATCCTTGGCGGTGGACGGCCGTTCCATCCCCTCGATTATCAGAGTTTGGACGACAAGTGGAAGCAGTATACCAAGGGCAACGGTTTGTTCTTCCCAACTGAGGAAGAGAAGAAGCGGTCGGCAGAGGCAATGGGCCTGGAGGCTTTCCCACCAGTCCCCACGGAGACCAAAACTGCGGTTCTCCAGAGCGCACTTCTCGGCACATATAGCGGCCCGCAGTACGCCGATCTTACAGATACGCTCGGTATCGTGCGGAGCTATGTTAAAAAGGAGGCCAGTTGGAGCTCGGCTGCAGAGCGGCGTATCGAGGAGAAGATCAGGAGTTTGCTACCTGGTGGGAGGCCGGGGCCTACGAAAGCTACGGGTGCAAAAGCTTAAGAGACGGACAGAGGGGCTTCAAAACTATGAACACTGAATATGTGGGACAGATACTGAGGATAGATGCCTTTGTAAGAGGTCTAGATCTCAGCTCTAGCGCTGTATCATAACACTTTTGTAAGAGAGCAACTCTGTATAATGTACATAAATATCCTGACACTTGATTTTTGGCGTCATCACTTCAGGGGCAGTATTATGCTTCTAGGTACAGTACTCTGCAGCCGCTCGGCAATATTGCTTTCGAGATATGCGCGATGAGCCAATACACTGCCCTATTGCGACTCCGCGGCCTTGAGAGCGCTCTTCTCAGCCGCATCAACCTGGGCGATAGCACCCTTGATGATCTTGTCGAGCTCCTTATCTGCAGTTGTCTTCACGTCGGGCACAATCGTACCGTCCTTCTTCCAAGTAGCATGCAGCTTGTCCCTCTTCTGGCGAATAGCACGTATGCGCTCACGCCACTCGTGCGCCACGGCCTTGACCCTCTTGACGAGATCCTCGCGCTTCTCGAGCTCGATCTTGAGAGTCAGCTCAAGCGCGTTGTCGGGGTCCCGCTGGGGCTGCTGGTTGAACTGCGGACTCCCCTGCACGGCGCTCATGATGGGCTTCACCCACCCCTCCTCGTGCACCAACAGGGAGATGACACGGCCCCCGCGCCACACGACTTCCGCCAGTTCGCGTAGCGGGTAAGCCTCGCCCGTCTTCTTGTCGACCGTCACGCGAAGCCCACTGAGCGCGTCTGGATCGAACCGCGCGCCCGTATGAATTTGTCTCAGGGTGGTCCTGAAGAAGAGCTCGGCCTGCTGGGACAGGCGGGATTCGACGTCGTCAAAGTTGAGGATATCCTCGGGAGAAGGCTGGGGATGTTTTGGTCCATCGTCGGCAGCGTCGCTTGTGGTGGATTTCTCGGCACCTTTGCCACGCCCGCCGGCGGTGCGCTTCTGGGTTTCTTCCTTCTTTTTCGACTTGGACAGGGCGGGGGACGCATGGAGGTTTCGCACGCCGTTGAGGATATATGGCGAGGATCTAGGAGAAGCGGACGCGAGAAGCGGCCATCGTTCGCAACGCTGACATATCGGCCGGCTGCTGTAGGAAACTGTCGCACCCACGGTGGTTCTACTTTAATAGGTAGAGGTAGGGTTAGCAAGGAAACGGGTTAGAGGGTCAATTGGACGGACGAACATTCTCGCCGTCTGGGGCCGCGCGAGTCCGGATCGCAGCAAGGTGCGGGCTGTTACGTTGCTCATTATTGTATTATCGTGCTATTGTATCCCGCCCAAGATGTTGTAGGCTCTCGTCAAGCTCTTAGAGCGTGGCATCCAAGCAAGTTACGGAAACAATAAATTCGACGATGGTACTTCGGGACCCACTCTTCCTTGCTACATGCTGATAAGATTAAAAAGAACATGTTTTTAGGAAAAATAAGAGAATATGTCTCAAAAGTACGCACAAATTGTGAAAAAGAATCCGCCTTGTTTAATGAGGATTATTAAACAGAGACACCAGTAGGATGTTCTCGCCCGGGATCGAACCGGGGATCTTCTGTGATCAAAGAAGGAACTTTGTAAGACAGATGCCATAACCACTAGGCCACGAGAACCATTGACTTGGAAGACCATGTTCCTCATCCGATGTTGAATGCATGTCACTCTATTGTACATATGTATCATAGCTTCATGAGTTACTCACTAGGTGTGGTTGGGGATATTGACGTGCGTATTGCGCGTGGTTGCTATCTGGTATTTAGGTACACATACATACATACACCTTGCACTTTCTCATAGCAAAAGGCACGAGATACAGACCCGAGCTGTCATTCAATCAACTGGTCGTATGGTGTTTTGTTTCCCAGTGCCATACCAACCCCAGTTCAGATAGCCAAATGTTTAGCACCTCCTACGAGTCCAAAAGAAAAAAAATGGTGGATTGGTATCGCGACTGTATATAGAAAGAGTGGGAAATTCCAATTTGAGGCCTTATGATTTAACAATATATCTAGTAATGCGGAACTTTTATTTAAAAAGAAAACTTCTACGTATGGTTAAGATACTCTCCAGACCTCAAGACCAACTCCAGTAACTAAGAATCTCTCTCCGTGATTGTTGTCCCGTGCTCTCACAACCTCTAGGTCTCCTGCGTCCGCGACGCCGCTATACCGATCATCAAGCAAGTGGACCTTTGGAGAGATAGATTTCCAGTCGACTAGCCGCCACGTCTTGACGCGCTGGTCGTTACTCGCAGTGACGACCAGTGCATCTCGCTCTCCGTTTTCCAGCCGCACTATTCCTAGTCCTGTCACTGCGGCGGCGTGCGCAGAGCGGACAACGAATTTGTTGCGGACCTCGTACTGGGCTACTCCTTGCCTCTGACTGCGACTAGAATGCCGGGGGGTGTACGATGCATCTTCTCCTTCTTGGATTGGCTCTCGGGATAGAGCCGGAATCGAAGTCTGGCCGGGTGAGGGAGCGGGATTCGTTGTAGTATTGGAATCCGCAGTGATAGGATGTATATGCTCGGATGACGGAGATAAGGAGGGCGAATATAGATGTAACACCCCGATCGCATCATCGTCGCCGCCCGTGACAACCAGGTATGAGGTCCCGGTTTCCGTGGTGGTGCTGCGCATATCCAGCGATTTAATGGTACTTTGGTGGAGTCTTGTGACGACTATATCTGTCGAATCGTCAGTCTTATTTCTAGAAGATTGTATGCGTGGAAACACGGCTAAATGACCGTCCGTGGCAGCCGTCAGGGCCTGCGGATAACATCCATCGACAAAATTCAGATGTCTGAGCTGCGTGAGGCATGCGCCGGTATACATCCCCCTCCCCAATAACCGGAACCCATGCTGCGCGGAGTAGAGATAGCTTTGAACCGTGGAGTTCGAGAGCGTCATCGAGATACAGAACTCCGGTTCCATCCGCAATTTTCCTGATTTGATGGCTATGTGCCCCTCTTCATCATGAGTACGGTCCTCATTCAAACATTGCACATCAAAATCTGTAATCCGCAAATCGCCCACCTCAGAGCGATCGCCGAATGCAGCCTCGCATACAACCCCGAGGGGACAGATATCGCTTTCTGGGTCCGTAATGCGCCAGACAAAAAACTCCTCGTTACCGCCACTGCTGAAGAGATACTGATCCTTATACCACTTCATTTTCTGAATGCCTGTATTGTGCTTTTCTAGTGCAAGCACACAGCGCAACTGCTGCTCTCCTCTATCTCCCTCGTGAAGATTCCATATGCGAATCATGGTATCCTCAGCGCCTGTAGCGACGTACTTTCCTGAGGCGGCCGACACACCCTTGATCTCACGGCCGTGTCCTCCTACTTTTAATGGCGAATGAGGTGAGCGTGTCTGTGAAAATATCTTCATCTGCGACGCTTTGGTACAGGCAAATCTAAAGCCTTCGGGATTTCCCCCTATCTGCACATGATCGAACACACGATGGCCTCCTCCGCAGTCGAGCGTCGCGACTTCGTTTTGTTGCGTCGCGTTCCAAATTACGAAATATTTGCTTCGGAAGCCGCAGAGCATGAGATCGTATTTCCCATCTCCCTTGTCGAGAAGCCATGACCCTTCAACCAAGGGCCCAAATGGTGGTTTTGTCTCATGCAGGAGGCGGACTTGTAGTTTATCATTCATATCAAGGATCTCGTAAATCCTATATTTCCCGTCGCGAGCAGTCGTGAGGAAATAAAGAGGGGAATTCTCACACCTTCGGGGAAGTGGAAGAATAGATGTGATTTTGTCGCCGATCTTAACCTCTATAGTCAGAAGAGGAGCGTAACTTCCGTCAGTAGTCGGACCAAAAATTGAGATGTTCCCGTTCCTAGAACCAAGGATGAGGTAGTTATGACACCATGCGGCAGTTGTCACGATAAATCCATCGGGTGTCTTGACCTCGGTTCGTCGAACTAAAGTGCGATTTTGATCAAGACGGAGAAGTTCCCCTTTCGTACTTCCGAATACCGTCACCAGAAATTCGGTACACCCGTCGGACTCTCCATCAGAGTGGCGGCCTGTATGGCATGGAGCCCAAGTATCGGAAAGGCAGATGATTTCTGTAATCTTCCGCTCGGCTTTGTGAATTGGCCAAAGCGAATCGCCACTAGCTCCATAATAGTAAAATAGCTCGCCGTTAGGAGCGCCAATTAAAGCCATCGAAGCTCTTCTTGAGCTCCTAAGAATGGTGTATGACTGTATAGTTGTCCGGACCTCATTGGGGATTGTGAGCTCCTTCCACTCTGCTTTACCATCAAAGCTACCGAGAAATAAGCGACCTGACCTTGTTGTAACAAGCAATCTATTGTCTGTGACGAATGTGAAGCCCTGGAACATTTCTTTCCCGTTTCCATGCTTGAAGGAAGGAATAGAGGAGGCATTTCCAAGGGTTTGATGTTGACATTTTTCGATAAGGTATGTTGGAGATACATCGAGTTCTTGGATATACCGCGGGCTGTGAGTGATACTGTCTGTTGTATCTCGTAGGCTTCTTGATGACACATGGGTGGAAGCGTTCTCCATGAGCGCTATCTTGCCATCCCCACCACCTGTAGCTATCAGAAGACCATTTTCATTAACAATCATAGCGTGTGACCAGATTTGCTTCCCGCTATGATTTGAAAAGGCCTCGTGGTGCGTCAACTTGGAGGGCGGTTGACTCGGGCTATTTAGTACCCCTATTTTGACTGTCTTTAGAATAGCTTCCCGACTGGTGCTTAGGTCAAGATGCCATCTTTGCATCGTGGCGTCCTCCCCAAACGAATAAACTTCAATTATATCTTCCCGGGAAAGGGAACCCAAACTGTTAATCTCGACTTGCCATATCCTGGATATGTGGCCCATAGCCATTGCGATACACCTCGAAGGGGTATCAGCTAGTCCTATTGACCCAACGATAGAATCACCAAACCCGGTTTGCCTCGCATCGCATATTTGCGTCTCGTACCCGTTGTCTTCATTCGTGGCTCCATCGCTTCGTTCTGTAATATCCCAAATTCGGATTGTCCTGTCATCACTACAGCTCGCGAGCAATCTAATTGTTTCCCCGGCACTAGTGAGTATCTCAGGCGAAATGTGAACACCGAAAATCGATCCTTCATGACCCGAGAATATAAATAAAACCTCGCAGCCGACTGTTTCTCTTCCTTGGGAATCGTCTGCTCCAGAACTATGATGAGAGCCGTCAATGTCGAGAATGGAGCTAAGATGGCACTTCCAAACCACAATCTCGCCGAATACGGTGCCCGCAGCAACAAGCACGCAGTCCCGCTCAACCCAAAAAAAGTTTCCCGAGTACAAGATCGGCCGCGAGGGTGACTGTACTCGTCCTAAAACGAGCGTCTTCTGATTCGCGCTTACATGTCCCTGTATGACTTCGTTATGCGCCGTAAGTAGAACAATGTGGTTATCGTCAAAGGGCGAGATACGGCCATCAAATATCCAATCGGGGGCGATTGTTTCGGGTGCAGAAAGCGTCTTGCTCAGCAATCCGGATTTCTCATGAGCCTCAGGAAGTAAATCATCATCACCAATCCTTGAGCTAGCAGAAATCAACTCCTCAATGATGCGACCAGGTAGTACTTTGACAGCATGGCCACCCCAAACGAGGATCCGAGAGGGGCTTCTGGGAACGCTAGAGTTGCTATAGCAATTTTCAGTAGCCGGGGGCACGGAAATCCCTTGAATAGGCTGCTCATGAAGTATGGGCAATGTACCACAAAGTTGTGAGGTTGCGACATCGTAGATACTTATATCTGTGTCCTCGGCCGCGAGTAGATATTGCTTCCCACCTGTCGCCCAGAACGCGAGCGCCGTAATAGGGCTGAGCACATACTCACGACGGAGTCGGCCAGGAGGTGCCGCCTACAATTATAGATATTAACAACTGTATTATTATACCAATACATACCGTCTTTCATACACGACACTTGTTGTGCTGGGTTATTGAATTTCGTCGATTTCCCGAGGATTCGGTGGGACTCGTGTGTTGTGGGGCCATGATCAAGAATTTTTCGTTGATAGCGGATAGGTAGACTTACCTCGTGAGACATTGCTCAAGCAACTTCATAACGATGCCATGCGAAGCCCAAAAGGTGGATTGTCCGGAGGCGCGATTTTGTCTGCTGGGAAAGTTGTTAATGACACTATGATTTGCAAGTGCAAACGGGCCTTGGGATGATGTTCAAAATCCGAGCACGTGATTCACACCATTGAAGTTGTTTGAATCAGGTGTTCAAAGTTCACCCTACAACCAACCACCTAGGTACGACACAAAGTTCAATATGAAGATATGGGATATCATATTTCATTACTGTATTGATTTATCGACATGTTCCGGGTAGCTATTCCCTTACAAAACGGTATCGATTCTTTATAACCCAGACATCTCAGGTCATTCAAATCCCATCATAGCCCAACCAAGCGCCGGCAAATGCAAACTGAGGAAATATAGAGCTCTATTTAATGTACTTCGTGGGGCACGTATTGGCCCTACACCTATTCAACCCCCCTCTAGACCCGGGAATGAGAATAAGGCTCGTAAGCGAGATCAGAGCGAGCGCCACCGCGTTGAGGAGCGCCGTAGTTGTAGC